AAAAAAAAGAAGAAGAGGTGAATGCAAAAGAAAAAGATGAAGAGGTGAATGCAAAAGAAAAAAAAAGAAGAAGAGGTGAATGCAAAACAAAAAAAGAAGAAGAGGTGAATGTAAAACAAAAAAAGAAGAAGAGGTGAATGCAAAACAAAAAAAGAAGAAGAGGTGAATGCAAAAGAAAAAAAAGAAGAAGAGGTGAATGCAAAACAAAAAAAAGAAGAAGATGTGAATTCAAAACAAAAAAAAGAAGAAGATGTGAATGCAAAACAAAAAAAAGAAGATGATGTGAATGCAAAACAAAAAAAAGAAGAAGAGGTGAATGCAAAACAAAAAAAAGAAGAAGAGGTGAATGCAAAACAAAAAAGAAGAAGAGGTGAATACAGAAGAAAAAGAAGAAGAGGTGAATGCAGAAGAAAAAGAAGAAGAGGTGAATGCAGAAGAAAAAGAGGAGGTGAATGCAGAAGAAAAAGAGGAGGTGAATGCAGAAGAAAAAGAAGAGGTGAATGCAGAAGAAAAAGAAGAGGTGAATGCAGAAGAAAAAGTGGAAGCCCAAGAAAAGAACAAGGAAAAAGTCCTTCTGATCACAATTATATGAGGTTTAAAATTGGAAAAATGAACAATTACCAGGCAGACGAAATAAACTTACTAAATAAACTAGACAGATTATCAATAAAAATTGTTATATGCAATAAAATCACTACCGTCCAAACAGGTCATAGGCCATTAAAAACTGACTACTATAGATTTAAAATAATTGACAATCCAATATGCTGCTGTTCTAGTGTAGATCAATCAGTGGATCACATAATATAGGAAAACTTAGTTTCTTATTTTAGGAAATTGAAAGCAGGACTTAACTAGAAAATAAAACAGCCAATGACTACAATGCTTATTTCCCAAGAAAAAGCGTTTTACAAACCCTCACCAAAGAAGTCTTCGGAATTATAGAAGCAATAGGTTTTGAAGAGCCTAAATACAGACTGATACTAAAAATTGGACTGAAACTTACAACTAAACTCACGGGAATAAGAGATACATTCGCCAGTCGCGTCTTGACTGCTAATTAGAAGTGGTTTAGTACCGAAGCTATCTGGACCTTATTTCAAGCATATATCGATAATAACATCAACAAACTTTCCGATATAAATGAGTGGGCACCAGATCGGACTAACCAAATCATCCAAGCCTTTATAGACTTAATTTATTCAGCTGCTCACCCAGCAGTTCCTAAATCTTCGGGTATTATCTGGAACCGTCAAGTCCCATGGTTGAATGAAAATTGCACGTTTGCCATCAAAGAAAAGAAGAAAGCCTTTAGAAAATATAAGAAATATAAATCCATATAACTGGGCATATTATATAAGAATGCTAGAGCTTAAGCTCGCTGAAAAATCTTAAAAATACTATGCTACAATCTTTTAAAGATTTTACATCTTCTATTACTATGCCACTCTGTCCGCAACTATGTGGCATAAAATAAAATCAATTAGCGGCTCTCATTCAACTAGTTTACCTCCAATATTAGAAGATGAAAACGGAATAAAATACAGGGGTTCTCAAGACATCTGCAATGCTCTGGCAGATTCATTCGCCAATACTTCAAGCAATAATAACTATGAACCATCCTTTCGTAAATTAATTCCGTCTTTATCCCTATCCACTCAAAAAAACATCCAAAACCTCCTAAGTAACAACAATGATTCATTTAACTGTCAATTCCTGATGAATGAGCTCCTTCATATTTTGAAGAAATAGAAAAAACTCTGCACCAGTGCCTGATAATATTCGTAATATTTTCTTGAAGAATGTGCCACTGAATACTTCTTAAAAATGTATAATGGCATCTCTCTCTCCCAATCCTTCCCTGAGCAATGGAGAGAAGCTCTTGTAATTGCGGTATCGAAACCAGGCAAAAATCCATCTAAAACCAGTAACTTTAGACCAATGTCATTAAAGTATACTCTTGGCAAAGTACTAGAAAAAATGGTTGGGAACCTTATCAGGTAGCTCCTAGAAACAAGAAACTTACTATTCCTCTTTCAAAATGAATTTCGACAACATAGATCAACCAAGGACCATTTAATAAGCATCTACACAGAAATTTGTGATGCACTAGCAATTAACCAGCATGCAATTGTTGTTTTGCTTGATATTGAGAAAGCTTACGAAATGTTTTTTAAACCCCGACTACTACGTAATCTTATCTCAATGAATATTGAAGGCAACTTACCGGCTACTGTACAAATATTATGCAACATAGATATCTACGTGTACGCATGTTTGATAAAATGTCAACACTCAGGGAAATAAAGAATGGCCTCCCTCAGGGCCAGTTATTAGTGTGCTTCTTTTTCTGATCGCAATAAATGAAATAAGTAGTATCATAGAAGCACGGAGTAAATTATTTCTCTTCGCTGATGATATCTCCATTGTATGCTGCGGCAGAAATCTCCGAGTAACAACTAAAATAATCCAAGAAATATTAAACAAAATTCAAAGATGGGCAAGTTCTTCAGGTTTCTCCCTTTCAAGAACTAAATAGGAATGTATTATAATCTCTAGAATCTCAAAACTTTTAAATGAAAATCCTGCCCACTCTATTGGAAACCACCAAATACGTCGTACATACTCTTGTAAAATTTTGGGCATGACCTTCGACCAGAAGCACTCTTGGAAGAACCACATTTTTCTGCTAAAGTCCAAATACAAAACCAGGCTGAACATACTGAAGATATTAGCATTTCGAAAGTGGGGAGCAGAGTGGAAATGTTTAATTAATGCTTATCGTGCTATTATTCAAGCAAAATTAGATTATGGAGCTGTAATCTTCAGTTCAGCTACCAAATCTACACCACAGACTCTAGACCCTATTATAAATTCCTTTCTCATTCCCGTTATAAAGTCTTTAAATCGAGCTCTATGAACAGCCTTATTGTAGAAGCAGGACTACTCACCCTCGACTTGCAGCGGAAACAACTATATTTAAAAATTGGCTACTTATCTTTAAATTCCTCATCTAATCCGACCTTCAAAAATATCTTCAGCCGCTTTTAAACTGATTACCATTCAATCCATGTGAAATATTCAAAACCTCTTAGAGAAAGAATCCCAATTTATGAAGATGAATTTAATAATGAAACTCCTCACATTCTACAGAGAAGGATTCACCCCACCCCTCCTTGGCAATCCTTTAAACCTGAAATAAATACAATAACTATACAGATTCCAAAATCCTTAATCTCTCCAAAAATAGTTTCATCGCATCTGAATTACCTTTATGATAACTATCATGACTTAGAAAAAGTGTATACAGATGGATCAAAATATGAAAACAATGTTGGTTATGCAATTGTATCTACAACCCCGCTCAATACCTTTAAATTTAGGTTACCAGAATTCTTTTCTAGCTTCTCTTGGGAAGCGTAGGCCATCCTGAAATCCATTGAATCAGTCTCCCAAAATGGAGAAAACTGCAACATAGGAATTCCTTCAGACTATGGCTACCTTGAATGCAATAGTCAACAGGTATTCTAAAAATACCTTATTTCAAAGAATCCAAAAACAGTTATTTACACAAGAAAACAACGGAACCTTCATCTCTATTTTTTGGATTCCAGGACATAAAGGTATAGCTGGGAATGAAAGGACAGATAAAGTGGCTAAAGCAGCAACTTCATTACCAACAACGAACAAGAGTGTGAATGGAGTTCTCTCCGTTATCAAAGTATCTATTAAAAATATTGTTAAGAAACAGTGAAAAATGTCTGACTACCTTCGCCAAACTTCACCTAGTAAGGAAATCCGCTATTGAACCCGCTCTCCCGAAACTCCAACTCACTAGATTCCAACAAGTCCAAATTATCAGACTACGTATGGCCACTTCAATTTTTCATACATTCACCTAATAACAAAAGCTGACCCATTACCTTGTCCTAAATGTGGATCCCTAGTATCTAGATCCCATATTATTCTGGAGTGTTCTGAGCTAGCCCATATAAGATAGTCCTTAAATTTAAAAGACTATAATGCCTCCTCCTTCCCAGAAGAATGTATAAAAGTCTTCCTACATATAAAAACATCAAAAACTGATACCTTAATATTAAGACCTTCCTTTACCTGTATCTCATATTCAATAATCCTTGAAACATGTTAATATCAAAAACTTGTGTAATGTAAATAAATAAATATGCGTATCCATCCCAATTATGTAAGTACCCACAAAATTAATACATTTTGACCACTTATATGCTTGTATGAATTGTGTGTAATTGTATAATGTCATAACTGTAAAAAATGTATAATCTTGTGAAAATTATAAAATGGTTCTCGTGGTCGTTTATGACCAGTTGTTGAAAAGCGAACTTAAATAAATAAAAAAAGAGGTACATGAGGATATTTAAGAAAATGTATAGAACTAATAATAAGAATTAGTTTATAATAAATTACATTAAGTACAATAAAATAAAACAATCGCAAATAAACACATTGTAAACGACAAAAAATATCATTTGCATTAGATACAGTGTAATTATAAATAGCCAACAAATAAACAAAAAATGTTTACTATTTTATGATTATTATTATAATAATAAACGTAACTGTACTATAAAAGAAACTGAATTACGTTCAAAATAAACAAATACAAAAGAAAACAAAAGTAAAAAAGATTAATTTAAGAATAATAAAGAATACAATGCATGTAGTAATACTTTGTAATTGAGTTTGTTAAAACACACAATTAAAAAAACGCGCACATACCCATCCACCTACACATACATGCATACTAACACACACAGATATACATATAAACATACTCTCACTGTCGATAGATAGCACCTTGAACACATCCCTGTCAATCCTGGAACGGAGGAGAATCAGACTAGTTGGCAAATGTTTGCCTATTCTTTTTTCTGCAATTGTGTTCTTTACTACTGGTCACACGAGACAAATCTAACATTATATTACAAAATAATCAATTTCTTCTTAATATTACATTCGGTCTTTTATGAGTCATACTCAGGCCACTCTGTTAAATATAAATTTTACAACCTACTGGACAGAATCCCTTGGAAAGGGCCCACCGCTGTGCAACGTCTCATGCATGATTAATAGACGAAATTATATTACGTTTCCAGGCATCTGTAGTTTAAGAAAGTTACACAAGGTATTGTTACACCAATCCACAAAATAAACCTTTTTATCTCAATGTTTTTTAGCTATAATTGATATTTAATTTGTTAAAAGAAATCGCTGTTCCAACCGAGAAGCACTCCCTGATACGCTGCGATGTCTCCTATTTCAACTACAGAGTCAGCTTTTCGAACACGATTGATGGTGGTTGCGAGACCCATAGCAATGCGGATTCACATGCCTACGTAAATTTTAAAGCTAACCACGGCAACATATTAGCTAAAACTAATATTACAGTTTAATGCCTAAGAAAACGTGGCGAAAGCTCACCTTCGAACTCCTGCGTCGTGGGGTAACGGTAGCGGAAGTGCTCTAGTCGGCACGCGTAAATGTTGAACCCCGCCTGCTGCAGCACCGAAGAGAAGTCGTTCACAGGGTCCGTTGAGCGTTTGTAAGGCGACATGAAGCTGCAAGCGTCCTAACACCAACGTTGCTTTCATAATTATGTTGTATTGCGAGAAAAACAGACCGAGAATGAAACTCCGGAATGGTGAATTGAGATACGAAAATAGGTATATCCAAATATTTTGATTCTGTTGCATTATTACTTCAAAATAACGTAAATTTCAAGAAGGTGTGTAAAATAGGCAAAAGTTCAAATTGGTTTACAATTTAAAATATGTTCTGAGTGTTAATAATGCATTACCACACCTCAAACTATTTCTCCAAAGAGGGTCAAATTTGTGTATTTTAAATTGCTGCCTCGTGAACTTGAGATAATTTCCCGCATTTCCATCTTAGAAAACGTGTGATTTCTGGCGCTATTTTGTTGGTTGTGTGTAAACTTACCTGCATAAAGTTACACCAACGAGGGTTGTTTTGCATAGCGATATGGGCATCGTAAATGGGTGAATTAGCAACCAACAACAGGAGTGCCTCTCCTCCTGGCCGCAGCAGGCTGTGGATGTTGCGAAGTGCAGTTCTGTCAACAGCAATCGCCACAACCAACGTCAACAACGTAAGAGTTTACATTATTAAATTGACTCTACTTTACAAAATTTAGAACACACGCGCGCGCCCGCAACACACGCGCGCGCCCGCAACACACGCGCGCGCCCACAACACACGCGCGCGCCCACAACACACGCGCGCACCCACAACGCACGCGCGCACCCACAACTCACGCGCGCACCCACAACTCACGCGCGCACCCACAACTCACGCGCGCACCCACAACACACGCGCGCACCCACGTAACAAGATGCGACACTTTCTTACGTGGTTTGCTGCAGATTTTTTAAATTTATATCTCCTGAGATAACTAGGACAATTTTTGCCATTTATCAGTGTCCTTTCAATTCTGTCACTAGTACTATGAGTAAGCTGTAATAATATGCCTAAGTATACATACCGACTTCTACGCAATAAATTTAACTGCTTAAAAAATGTCATTGATTGTACCCATAGTGGGGGGAGGTAAGCTAATAAATCTTTCCACCTCCAATAGTGCTAAGCGATGGAATGGTAAAATGGTGCCGCGAGCCCCCATCTCACCGTTGGTCGGCCACCCAGTGGAGCGCGTAGAAGGAGAAGACCTTGTGGAACCCCTGGAGTTGCTGTGCGCATGCGCCCAGCGGCGTGGCCGGCAGGTCGCGCGCGGCGATGTCCGTGCACAGGAAGCGCAGGCGCGGCGCCAGCGCGGCGTGGGCGGCGGCGGCGTGGTGCACCATCTCCTTGCTCACGTCGTGGCCCACCAGCGCGCGCACGCTGCTGGGCAGGCGCGGCAGCAGGAGCTGCGCCGTCACGTCGCCCGGGCCGCAGCCCACGTCCAGCACGGCCTCCTGCTCCTCGCGCGACCAGCGCAGCCGCCCCGCCCACTCGCGCAGCACGCGCGACACGCTCTCCCGCTGCGCGGCGTTGCTGCGCGCGTACAGGGCCGGCTGGTACATGCTGCGCACTATCAATCTGTTTAAGAGACATTATTAGAATACTTCCTTCAGACGACGTTTCATTAACATTTTATAGTGCTACGCTTCACGCATGCATGTAATCAAATACCGTATTTCTATCTTTGAGCACAAAATTAATGGAGTCTTGTCATTGAAGTTAGGAAAATAGGATTTTAAAATTTCTAAATTTTCTTCGAAACGAGTTTTTGTTTTGCTGTTACACTGACGGCTAGGCTAACTGCTGAATTTTACTATTCTGTAGTTTCCAAGATAGGAAGAGGGCAAAATAAATTTATATAACTAATGCATTTTAAATTCATGTTAGATGTACATCAATGTTTTCTACTCAGTTCACCAATGTTTTCTCGGTAACATTTTCTCTAGATCGATATTTTTTCCAGAAAAATATACTGTTTTCAGAATTACCTTTCTGGTCATTTAAATAAAAATGTCTAGTATTCATTTTTTACATTATCTTCTGTACTAAAACAGGACAACCATAACAATCACCTCAATAAAACCATCTCAAATTTTTTGCCGTAAATACATATTTAAGTTTCTCTTGTGCCGTAACTCTGCAAACGCGTCAGGATAAATCATTAGCTCAATTTTGGAAACCGTGCAGATTGCTGCAAAGGGAGGAGATACTCATGCTAGTCTGTACTCAGGAATGAGAATGTTTACAACACTCTCCAGGTTAACTAGAGAAGAACTAGTTAAGATAGAGCAATTATACGTGTGTATTAATTGAATGAGCAGTTTGCTTTTGTCAATTTTCACTACTTTATTTAAAAAGTTAAATGTATCAATTTAATTATTCGGGAATTTAAAGGAAAACGCGTGAAGGTAATTTTTCTTTGTGATGTGAAAATTATGAGTTTCTAAAGTTTGAAGGTTGCTTTTAAATGCAAACATTAGCGATATTATATAAAAGCAAAATCCAGCAACTGTTACTCGTGTCCTTCCACAAAAAGGACTAAGTGATTAGTTCTAATTTGGTAAGTTAAGTTTTTAAGACAAGGTGACCGGCAAGATTTCTTTACCATAATTCCCTACAACCTGTACAGATACAGGTAAATATAAAATACTTCAAGTAGATTTTCAGAGGTTTTCACCTGTTTTACAGCAATAATTTATCATTCCAGAACTTGTAAAATCATTTCATTCGTCTTCAAGAATTAATTTGACATGACTTCAAGTCCTAATACTGAAATACATGAAACATTTCTTAGGGATTTTCAACTTCCCGCACAGTGAATATGCAGAACCATTCAAACTTTTCTACAACTATGTCCTACATATTTAATTTTTGGCGGGTATCGTTCGTACTCAACCTTTTTAGTCTTGTCGCAACATACAAAGACACCCTTTATTTATTTATCATAATAAAAAGGTATCTACCTCATCAGCGATCTAATTAATTACCAAGACACCTTTGAACCATTTTGACTGTTTTGTCGTGTTGTGCATAATTTCATTCAAATGCAATTCTTTAAATGAAGCCCTCCGCTCTTGCTTCAACGCGCAGTCGCGCTGCCTTGGCCTCGCGAGCCCGCTCCGTCGTCAGCAGCTGCGTCAGCGCTAGCGGCGTAAGCTCGTCTACTAGAGTATATTGTAAAAATGTTTTGTAGCTGGTATTTTCTTCCATTGTTTGTAAATATTTAAAACCTGTTTAGTGTTCTGTAGAAAGGGTGTTAGGGTAGAAAAAGGAAGAAAAAGAAAAGACTGCTGGTCGCCGACACCACCCGAGCAGCGTGGAGGTTTCCCGAAGCGCGACTCGTCGGCACAATGCCTGCGAAAATCCCGGCGACACTGCTCTCCGATGTAAACTTAAGTCGCTCTTCAACGTTACGAGCTGGAAGGAGAGACACCGCATTTAATACCAAAAACTTGTAACAAATTTCCCGACAGCATGACAGTGTCCCACCTCCTTCCAGCTCTGAGCCTTGAAGGGACAAAGTTTAAATGAATATAGGGATATTCTCCCGAACATCGGCCCTCCATCTTCCGTCCCCTTCTGGTCGTTTCCACTCAGCGTTACTTTTAATTATCGCGACGGGCCCCATCCCAATGTTCGTATGTACTAGAACCGCTTTCTCCCTCGTGCTCACTAATTATAGCAGGTAGTACTGACCCAGTTCTTCCATTACGGATCTCGCATTGATTTTAATTACTCTACTACCTATTAATGTTCTTTCACAAAGTTCTATCACTTACTGGAATGCGAACTGCAACTCCTCGTGTCTATATTCTTAGGAATTGGTCCGTAGGACAAGAATTAATCTGTAACATCTCCAGCTTTTCCGCTAATTGTAAACGCCCCCGCTCTTCATAAAGGTCTGTTAATCTTTCAACGAACTTTAATTCCCAATATTATCCTACGATAGTTTATCTACAGTAAAGCACCAAGTGCAGTTTAATGTCTGACGAATGCTCCTGTCACCAAAACCCACTTATATTGCCTTGTTACACAAATCTGTTCTACTCGACATACTACTGGCGTTACTAACTGCCTGATTTTGTATCAACGACTTTTATACTGCCATTCTTTTCCGTCAATGGGTACTACGAAGTATCTTATCACACTCTCCTACATAGCCTTGTATCCATACGAATAAAACAGCAGCCGCCTACCTCACAACGCGTCAGCTCTCGTCGGTGTAGCAACTGAGCTACTGCCTGCCAGCAGCGGCCTCCCCTCCTCTCTGTTCCCCTCGAAAGGGTTACCCTCCCTTCTCGCCGAGGGCTTCTGGTTCGTAGCCCACCGTCCGCGTCAGCACGCCCTTCTGCGCGGGAACTTCCAACTAGTGTGTTTTGATTAAGTTAGTTACGGTTATGACGTCTCATACATATACAGGATCTCTTTCTCTCCCTCTTTCTTTCTTTCTCTCTCTCTCTCTTTCTCTCTTCCTTTGTCTGTTTCTCTCTCTCGGTCTGCCTCTCTTCCTCTATCTGTCTCTTTCCCCCTCTTTTTCTCTCTCTGTGACAGCTTCTCTCTCTCTCTCTCTCTCTCTCTCTCTCTCTCTCAATCTACCTGTCTCTGGCTATCTCTCTCTTTATCTACCTTACAAGATAATTTAAATTCGTATAATTGCACTGGTCAGAATAAAAGTAATATTCTAACATATCAATTATCGCTAAATTTTCAAAAATTCTAACAGATCGTATCATGGATCTTTCGAACCCATAATCCGTAAGGAACTAATGAATTATGTACAGTCGATCGCAACGGGCCCTTCCCACCTTACAGTACTCAGGGTTTTGACAATTTATTCGAAACATGACGATATAAGATATCAACGAATTTCTAGATATTTGTTGTAAGACAAGAAACTCAGGGTCATCCTGTATTGAATTGATGCCTAATATTATATGGCGAGCTCGGGCCATCAGGCCCGCTCTTCCGCCTGACCACGCAAATTTCACTATGCTCCTTTTACCCACTAGCGGAGAAAGCAGGTATATTTTGGGCGTCAAACAGGCGATTTGAATTTACAATATCTCAGAGGCATCATTTAGGCTTGAGGATCTTTTACATGCAAGTAAATCTACTAACATTGGATATCCAGCTTTACTTTCCCTCCAAAGAAAGCGTACGAAGGATTTTTTCGCCCTTAAAAATCCATGGCTTCGATCGGGTGTCAATCCGCCAACTTGGGTATAACAGCCCGATACGCTGACCATACCCCATTCTCAGGTATCTCGCCTTTCAAGACATTGTATTCTACCGATTATAGCATCTGCCTATTGTTCTAAACGAAATTTGATCGACACATTTCTGTAATCACCCCATCTGTTTTAATAACATTGATCAGAGAGTACGCATCTTGAATGACATTTGTTTGATCGGGTTTCAGTATCAGACTTAAGTAATCTACGATATGATTAACTTTCCAGGTGGAAATTGAATGTTGAAATGAGCATTTTGGAACCATTATATCCATCTCATTAACCGATTATTATGGAAATGGCTTTGCTTCAGGAATATAAGTGCTTTATGGTCTGTGATGATTGTAAATTGCCTCTCTATCGAATAATTTCCGAATTTTTGTATCACCCAGACCACCGCAAGCAATGGCGTAAGTTCAACAGACGAAGTCATTGGTCCGTTACAATACGGAGCACATCATGTCATTAATTTAATATTATGATTAAAAATTGAATTTTAGTAGTGAAAAAATATTATAATTAATTAATATAGAAAATAAATTTATATATTTGCAATATTGCAATATTTTTGCAATTTCATGGTGTAATTTAAAATTTTAATTTTCTTAGCATTAAAAAGTGTATAATTGACAGTTGAAATATTATTTTTCCTTGACGGCCGCTTTTGTGCTCAATGAGTAAAATTCATAAATTACTCAGACTGTCTGGTACCATTTTACTTGTTAATCTTTAATAGTAAAGATTTATTTATGGATTTTCATAAGACTACGAATTTATATAACATGGAACACAACGACCCTTCTTTTTAATTTAATATTCATTTGTTACTGTTTTTCACTGTTTTTAAACGTATGTTTAAACAGCATTCAAGGCTTTCACGGCCGGAGTCAATACTCTTCATGTTTTCCGGGGTGACACGGTCCATCAGCCCGGAAGACATGAAGAATATGTTTAAACATTTGATATAAGCTCATGAAAGGCACAGCCGACATCGAAATTATTGCCAGCGATTGCCGCAAGAGGTCCCATTAAGTAGTAGTAACTAGTAGTATGTTCATCACTCCAGTCCACCGAACCGTTCACATCGCAGAGCGCTCGTAAAAGTTGGACCGCTAGCGTCGGTACGGGCCCGCCCGATACTGACAAACCAGTTTATATTTCAAGAGCTTCTTGTAATAAGGGAAATATAGTGTTAAACCAGTGCATCGAATTACTTTCACCGATGGCATTCGATGTGAATCCAACAAAAGGCAGCGTAGTCAACAATGCTCACTACGTGCTACACCAGCGGTATTCCGAATAGTAACTTCATCAATTTACCTACCTCACACAGAAAAGTGCTATGAACGAGGATTCAGCCATGTAATCTTCTACTTTAGAAACTTCATGTTATCACGACCTCTCGCAAGGTACAACGCTTGTAACCTTAGGCAGCCAGCATGAGGTAGATGCCAGCGTCAACCAAAGAAAAAGGTCAGTAGACGAGGACGCAGGTAGGAGGTATACAGGTCTGTGTATATTTATATATTGAGTGTACATGCTCGAAAGGATTGTATTGTAAATTGTTTTTGAATTGTAAGTGTACATATACTGTAAACCTGTAGGGTTGTGGTTACCACCTGGCAATCAGCCAATTGTAGTAAAATAAATATTATTATTATTATTATTATTATTATTATTATTATTATTATTATTATTAGAAAGTTCCTGTTATCAAGAACCATCGCAAGGTACAACGCTCGTAACCTTAGGCAGCCGGCATGAGGTAGAAGCCAGCGTCAACCAAAGGAAAAGGTCAGTAGGCGAGGACGCTTCCAACAGCGATAACAAAAACCACAGTACAAGTGCAAGTGACAGTGACTATGTCAAAGGTTCTACATCAGATTTAGCCAATGTATCACCCACAGACGGTTACGATGTTTCAATAGACTCCGTAGCCCAAAACTTCTTCAGAAATGAGAATATAGACTTGTAATCTTCACGCAATGTCCCAGTAGGTAATATATTTTCGGATTTAGCCTCCAAGGAAAACAATTCTCTTTCCCCAGATAACCGCTTTAACTATCTAAAGCATGATCAATCTTCACAGATTACTACAACTAATAAAATATCCCCAAGTTTTATTGCCTAGATAACTATCATCAACTCATTCGCAAATGAAATCAAAATTAACGTATCAAAAAACTTCGTAGCTGAACAAAAAAAAACAACAAACAACAAAGTGAAAATAAATCCCGGCTGAGCTGAAGATTTTAGTAAAGTCATAAAACACTTAACACAAATAGAAGATTCCACTCCTACAAAGATACTGCAAAAAAAAACTTTTCAGTAGTATTCAAAAATGTCCACATATCCATAACTGATAAAATAAATATCATTATTATTATATAATAAAGATACCCATCCATTGTTAAAATTACTCGTCTTCAGAAGGACAGCCATCCCATTCCTGTAATAGCAGCCGAGTTCAACGGCAATGAACCACTGGAAACAATACTGAACTGGAATCAAATCTCCAACTTCAAAGTCACCACCGATAAACGAAAAAGACCAAAAGGCCCATTATAGTGCTATAGATGTTTTGATTTTGGACACTCTAGAAACAATTGCAATCACAAAATTAACTGTGCAATATGCTCTGGTAATCATTATATTGTAACATGTCCTGAAAATAAAGCAATCCCCATCTGTATTCTTTGCAAAAGCAATCACCGTGCAGATGTAAGAAATGAGAACTGTTGATTCTATAAGGAAAGTGTTGAAAAGAAAATCACCCCACCCAATAACACAAGAAATCCATACCAATGAACACCACCATCATCCTTTAGCAACCAACAAGAACAATTTCCATCACTACCCTCTACCCAGCTAATCCGAACCGTCACTAGGAACAACCACCCTGTAAATCAATCAGGATTCGTAAAGAATATGAGATCACAGAGAAAACGTACTCAACAAAATCAACAAGATGATAATAATAATAATAATAATAATAATAATAATAATAATAATAATAATAATAATAATAATAATAATAATAATACTCTTTTAAATACAATAATATCGTCCTGTATTATTAACTTCATAAACTCCCTCATACCATCAATAATCAATACAATTCAGAATACAGTAACAACATTTTTTAATAACAATGTTGTCAATACAAGCCCATAGAAATATATCATTCTTAAATTGGAATGCAAACGGGATTCCATCCAAAAATAACACTACTCAATATTTACACACATATAACGTGGACATTGCGTGCATAACAGAGACGCATGTAAACAATAGTAATATGTTGGGGATAATTGTACTAATTATACGTTAAGAGG